TAATAATAAAGATGACGATGATGGTGATAATAATAATTATAATAATGATAACAACAACAACAATAATAATAATGATAACTTTCTTTTCTGTTTAGTATTAGTTACATATCATGCACCTACATATCCATTATACTTTTCCTAACTTATTCTTGTTTTATTTCCTAATATACCCTTTGCATGCTTATTGTACGTACATATGTGCACATTTGCATAGCCCTGTATAATCCCGTATACGCACACGCCATCTCGCATGTTTATATGTATGAACTCTCCCTCGCTATAAAATAATTCATTATATTTATTCATCGTATGTTTCTCTCTCTCTCTCTCTCTCTCTCGGTCTCTCTCTCTCTCTCTCTCGGTCTCTCTCTCTCTCTTTCTCTCTTTCTTTCTCTCTCTCTCTCTCTCTCGCTCTCTCTCTCTCTCTCTCTCTCTCTCTCTCTCTCTCTCTCTCTCTCTCTCTCTCTCTCTCTCTCTCTCTCTCTCTCTCTCTCTCTCTCTCTCTCTCTCTCTCTCTCTCGCTCTCTCGCTCTCTCGCTCTCTCTCTCGCTCTCTCGTTCTCTCTCTCTCTCTTTCTCTTTCTCTCTCTCTCTCTCTCTCTCTCTCTTTTTACTTATTTATTTATTTATTTATTTAATACTTGTTACTCGGGTATACCTTAGGATATGGCAGGGGCACAGGAGCGGGGGGGGAGGGGGTGGCCAAGGGAAAAGCGGTCTTACGTAAAGGGGTCGGAAGGGTGAAAGGGAGAGAAAAAAGAGAGGGGAAAGATATAACCACGAGATGCTGTTTCCAATATCTAGTCTTTTGTGGGATATATTGCTTAGGGAAATGTAATAATGTAAAATCTTGTGGGGTTAGTTATAAGGGTGTGGGGGGGTAGGGGGGTAAATGGGAGGGTGTGTGTGTGTGTGTGTGTGTGTGTGTGTGTGTGTGTGTGGATGGGTGTGTGTGTGTATGTATGTATGTGCGTTTTCGTCAGTCTGTGTCTGGCATTTGTGTATGTATACATGTGTCCCTTTGTATATTTGTATGTTTGTGTGCGCGACTTGTACGGAATTTAGGGAAGGAAAGAGAGATTTAGGGAGAGAAAGAGAAAGAGAAAGATTGAAATAAGACAAAATGCGTGAATAGGAAAACTTAAAAGACAATAAATAAATAAAAAGTAAAAATCCAGATATTTGTGATAGCGTTTTTTTCAGTTAATTTACAAATCATATTATTATTATTATTGTTATTATTATTATTATCATCATTATACTATTCATAATATATGTATATGTACATTCTTTTTCTTTCCAGCGTCGAAATAAAAGGAATTTGTTGTTCTCTTCTCTGACTGTTTTTTGAAATTTATTAAAGTCTATATTTCCATAATTATTTTCTTTTAGACAGACAGGCAGAAAAGGATTGGCAGTTTGTTTGAATGTATATAAGTGTGTATGTGCATGCATGTGCGTATATCTGATAAGAGATATACACACATACTCGTACACGTGCACATACACACACACACGCACACACACACACACACACACACACACACACACACACACACACACACACACACACACACACACACACACACACACACACACATGTATTTACTGCAGTTATATAACGGATGCAAAATCCAGTTCATGCAAGAATGCCCGCCACAAGCACAGTTGCAATCACATATAGATTACTGACCACAATCACCAGCAAAACAAAAATAACAATAATAACAATAAAAAAAAAAAAAAAAAAAAAAATCGACAATGATTTTTGTTGACTATTTTTTGAGGTGTCTGGCATTTTTTTGCGCGAGTTGCATAGTCGTGATTGTCTTTTTTTTCTACTTTTTCATTAATCGGATCTCTCTTTCTCTCGCTCGGTCTCATTCTCTCTCTCTCTCTTTCCTTCTCTTTCCTTCTCTCTCTCTCTCTCTCTTTCCTTCTCTCTCTCTCTCTCTCTCTATCTATCTATCTATCTATCTCCCTCTCCCTCCCTCCCTCCGCCATCCGTCTCTCCCTCTTCCTCTTCATCCCCCCCCCCTTTTTCCCGTCTTTCTCCGCCATGTTGCACCCTTCCCCCTCCCCCCCCTCCCCTACCCCCCCTTTTCGCTTCTAATCACCCCCCAATAAATATGTCATCGCCGGACCGTGGATTAGCCAATCAAGAAATTATTATTGAACAGAGGCGTGGTTGCGGGGGGGAGGGGGAAGGGGGGAATTATGAGGGAGATGAGGGAGAGGGAAGGGAGAAGGAGGGAGAGGGAGAGGGGGGGGGGGGGGAGGAAGAAGGAGGGAGAGAGGGAAGGCGGAGGGGGGGGAGAGATGAGGGAGAAGGACGGAGAGGGAGAGGGAGAGAGGGAGGGGGGGAGGGAAAACGCGAAAAAAGCAATTCCTCTTTTTCTCTTCTTAATAACCCCTCCCCCCCCCTTTCTTCCCCTCTGCCCTTCGTCTCCTTTTTCCGTTCTTGTCTCTTCTCATTATCCATCGTGCAGGAGGAAGGGGAAGGGGGGGAGAGGAAGGAGGGGGAAAGGAGAGAAGACCGAAGGAGGGGGAGGGGAGAGAAGAGAGGAAGGAGGGGAGAGAAGAGAGAAGAGAGGAAGGAGGGGAGAGAAGAGAGAAGAGAGGAAGGAGGGGAGAGAAGAGAGAAGAGAGGAAGGAGGGGAGAGAAGAGAGAAGAGAGGAAGGAGGGGAGAGAAGAGAGAAGAGAGGAAGGAGGGGGGAGAGGAGAGAAGAGAGGAAGGAGGGGAGAGAAGAGAGAAGAGAGGAAGGAGGGGAGAGAAGAGAGAAGGAGGGGGAGAGGAGAGAAGAAAAGAGAGGAGGAGGGAGAGAGAAGAGAAGAGAGGAAGAAGGAGGAGGGAGGGGGGGACGGCCACCACCTTGGATCGAAGCAAACGATTGACTTCCGAGGAGAGAGAGAGACATCTCTTGCCTCACGCAAATGACTTCTAAAACAAGATTTATATCCCGCCTGGTTGTGAATGGGCGAGTAGAGTGAAGTGAATGGATATTTGAAGGATAAATCTGCTGTATTTTTTATCTCCGGTGGGGTTAATGTGTATGTATTTATTTATTTGTTTATTTATTTATTTATTTATTTGTTGTGTGTGTGGTAATATTTATAAAATTGTCTCAGGGTGACCAATGGCCTGGTCAGAAATATTTGTTGTTCTGGGCGAGGGAGGAGGAGAGGTGCCTTGCAAATTGTTGCATTTGTTGCAACAGGCTTTCCTCTTGTCCGGTCCTTCTCTTTTTTTTTCCTGTCTCTCACTTTTCTCTCTTTTTCGTTCTCTGTTGTCCTCTTTCTCCCTTTGTCTTACCCTTTCTCTCTGTTCTGCTATTTCTCTCTCTCTTTCTTTCTTTCTTTCTCTCCCTTCCCTCCCTCCTTCCCTCCCTCTTTCCTCTTTCCCTCCACCTCATTTCCTCCCTCTTTCCTCCTTCCCTCCCTCTTTCCTCCTTCCTTCCTCCCTCCCTCTTTCCTCCCTCCCTCCTCTCCCCCATCCCTTCCTCCCTCTCTCCTTCCCTCTCCCCATCCTTCTCTCCCCCATCCCTCCCTCCTAATTTCCTCCCTCCTCCTTCCTTCCCTCCCTCTTTCCTCCTTCCCTCCCTCCCTCCCTCCCTCCCTCCTTCCCTCCCTCCAACTCGCACCTCAGGTCATGTTTCCGGCGTATATATGTGTGCGTGTGTGTGTATGTATGTATGTATGTATGTATGTGTGTGTGTGTGTGTGTGTCTTTCCTCCAAGATTCGTAATAAATTGCCAATTCATTTCTCCGCGTCAGTCTCCTCCCTCGTAGATTAATCCAGCTCGACATGCTAATTTTAGGCGCCTAATTAAATGAACTGGGTGGGCGGGCGGGCGTGTGGATAGGTGGATAGGTGGGCGAGTGGATGGGTGGATAAGTGGATAGGTGGATGGGTGGATGGAGAGAATGTTGTTACCTTTCTGTGTTGTGTGTCATCCTCTGCCTCTTCCTCTTTATCATCGTCTTCCTCCTCCTCCTTCCTTTCTTCCGTCTGTTTCTCCTTCTTTTTCTTAGTTTTCCTCTCTCCCTCTCCCTCTTTGTCGTCCTTTTATTAACTCCAGAGAGAGAGCGAGAGAGAGCGAGAACGAGAAACAGATAGAGAGAGAGAGAGAGAGCGAGAAAAAGAGAGAAGAGAGACAGAGAAAAAGATAAAGAGAGAAAAAGTGAAAAGAGAGAGAGAGAGAGAGAGAGAGAGAGAGAGAGAGAGAGAGAGAGAGAGAGAGAGAGAGAGAGAGAGAGAGAGAGAGAGAGAGGCGCGCCACCCTCCCAACTCTTATTGAATTTCACGAGTCACCCTTAACCCCCCTCCCTCCCCCCTTCTCGCGTCACCCTTATTATGGTGATCATGCAAAGGCAATATGACCTCATCACCATCAACGTCATTATTTTATTACCGTTAAAACTTTTTTTTTTTCATCGACATTATTACCGTCTATTTCATTAACTTACTTATTACTTTTGAGTTCAGTATCGCGTGCGCTGGGGGTGGGGGTGGAGGGGGTGAGGGTGTGTGCGTGCGTGTGTGTGTGCGAGTGCGAGTGCGTATGTATGTGTGTGCGTGCTTGTGCGTATGTGTGTGTGTGTGTGTGCGTGTGTGTGTGTGTGCGTGTGTGTGCAGAGAGAGACAGAGAGAGACTGTTTGTGTGAGATTGAGAGAGAGAGAAAGAGAGAGAGAGAGAGAGAGAGAGAGAGAGAGAGAGAGAGAGAGAGAGAGAGAGAGAGAGAGAGAGAGAGAGAGAGAGAGAGAGAGAAAGAAAGAAAGACAAAGAGAGAGATACGTAATTTCACCTTCATTCCATTTCATCATTTTAATATTAATTTTGATATATATATCTTTTTTTTATTACTTTCCAAGATTAATCCAATTACAAGGTACAGACGATATTTTATATTTTTATTGATTTCGTTTTAGATATATATATATTTTTTTTTACCGTCATTTTATGATCCATATATTTAATTCATTTTCTCTGCTTTACAG